AGAATCAATCTTCAAATTATGTTCTCTTTTCTGATGAACAAAAAAGCATTAAGCAAACCTATTCAAACTCGATAAGATCTCTCTTGTGACGTTCTGATAATAACCTTCACTCCTTCAGTACTGCTTTGAATGTCGTCCACCAAACCTTTGCAATCCGAAATACTCGTCGGCTTTTGAATGCCCAGATCCGCAGCTATATCGAGAGCCCCGACATACCATGGCTTCTAGAATTGCCTGTCATTTATATCAGGAAACATTGCGCATTTATTGTTTATATATCAGGAACATTTTTTAGACATGTTTTACATTTTTCAAATACATGATTAGCATTTATGAAAACTTATACTTTTTGAGGTCTATTTTTTCTTACACATTGTGCATTTTTTATATACATCAGGAACATTTTTTATATACACATTTAATATTTTTCAAATACATCATTAAAATATTTTTCATATATCTGTTTTGGGGTCTACTTTTCCCAAACACATTTTACATTTTTTGCATACTTCAGGAACACTTTTTATATACACGCTTAACATATTTCAAATGCACGATTAACCCTTTTTTTCACACATTGTACAATTTCTCATATACATTAAAACATTTTGTCTATACAGGTCTAACATTTTTCAAATGCGCGATTAACATTTTCCATTTTCACGCTCAAAGTGATTTTTCTAATAGATAAGTTTAGAATATTTGGAAATATAAGCAGAGTAAGAAAAGAAAGAAAAACGAATGCAAAAAATAGGAAAAGAAAACAGAAGAAAAAAGCGCTGAAGGACTTTAGTCTGCAACGGGCCGGCCCATAGCGGCGGTTGCTTGACATGAGGCGTAGTCGCGCCCATAATGTTGCTCACAAAAAAAAGTCACGCCTGTAAAAACAAACATGGAGCACCATCTCCGCCTCAGGACGCTTCATGCACACCCCGCACCGCGATGGCCCTTGCTCGTGCAGAAGGCGGCAATGGTCTATGTAGCACCGAACGACATGACAGAATACAAGGGATCGATTGATGTATTTGGATGTTTTTTTTTTGCACAGTGCATAAAGCCATAAACAAACATTTGCTTGTTTGTGTAAATTTTCACAATGCTTCTTTCATGGGTGCAACTGAGCGACACAAACCAATTCGGACATGGAAAGAAATGATGGATTCCTGTCTCAGATGAAACGACACATCGCTGCGGCACACTGAATTTGAGGCAGTGGGGCTTTCAGTCGATTAATCCGTTCATCACTATCCTTCCAGCGATGCGGCAACCTCTTTCTCATCTGCAAAGTAGTCTTTCCTGCAAAGAAAATCAACACAAACCGTGGAATCACTTTTCTGAGACATCAAGCAGCAAATGGGAAAACACGAATCAACTTCGTGACAAACCTTATTTTACGGGAAAGCTGATACAAGCCTGTGCCAGCCATTGCAACGTTTACACTGAAAAGGTTCCAGTTTTTCTGGAACATTATAACAATACAAAGGATGAGATGAGCAACGTTAAAATGGAGAATACCACAGAATAAGAAGCAACGTTAAAAATGAGAACACCACAGAATAAGAACAATGGGTGCTCCAACAGAAAAAGGAAACATGCAAAATAAAGAACTCATGTCTCTGATGCCGCCCATTGCTGCTCAGGAATACTTTCAGCACAAGGTAAATAAGAAATCAATATGATAGTTAATAACAAGGAAACTGATTGTCCCTTACTAAGGTCTGGGGTTCAAGGGTACTCAAAAAATGGAACGAGAAGGCTCCGGAATATTAGGCATTTATTCAAAAACAAGCTGAACATTGACAATCAGTCTAGGGAGTAGTTAAAAAAATTATAATATCAGAAGATCAATGCAACAACCAATGTTACAGATTAAATGTACATTCAGATAAGACATAATCCACACCTCCTTAGTGCATAACAGTGAAACCTGATGGTACGTACTGAACAAGCAAGTATCAATGGCTTACCGGTGTAATGACCATGCTGTAGCGTGACCAGATGATTCCAGTGCAAGCAACAGCTGAACAACATACAACAGAAGTAGCATGTGAGCAGTACACAAGAATTACGTAGTAAACAAGTGGGCAATTTGTATGGAACACAAGTGCAGAATTGCCTGGACTACATGGACATACCAACTTGCTGAGGATAGGATATCTTTTCAGGTGGCTTGGCGAAATCGGCAATGTTCGCAATGCTGATACCCCATTTAAATGTTGGAGCCCAAAAATGAACTGCAATGTAGGTATATTGTGTCAGTCTCTTAGGTGCAATAACTTGCTAAATGCACCATGCAATAGATTTTCATGAGATACATTGTTAAATGCACCATCCAACAGATTTCCATTACATTTTAGTGCAAAACCACAAAGTTTGGCATTTGAGTTGGTCCATGATTCACAGTACTGACCAAGAACACATTTACCACAATACAAACTAGTATAATGTTAAGTTCAATATCGAATAGCCAAGAATGTAGCTCAAGCATGTGAAGACCTTACAAGCAGGAGACCATCTAACTCTCCAAGGTGAAGAAATTGTCTCTTTGGGGCTTGAGAAAACATCAGCCACTATCACTTTAGTCCCTAACTTGTAATCACAAGAACGCAAGATCTTTGCAGGTCTTTCCTTAGTACAAGTTTACCAGGGGGGAATTCAGAAACAAGAGCAAATGAAAAATGTGCAATTGGCAAGAGGATGAAACATTACAGTTCCATGGTTAGCTAAAGGACATCAACTATGTACTCTTTAGGTGCCCCATCGCTAAGTTTGTTTGGAGCTGTATGAGAGATGGATTGTGGTATGGAACATGGCAGGGAGTTCCACCCTCCCTGTTGCACTTTGTGAGGGACATATTCAAATCAAGATATGGACCTTGCTAAAAATATCTGGCCCTAGCCACTATGGCTAATCAGAACACAACGGAATCTGAGGAATAAGTTCTTGGCTAACTCGCTGATGCATCATAATAATATTTTACTTCCACGCAGCAATGTAGGTGCCTACTTCAGTGAAGGTAAGGAGAAGGTGAAACTGGCTAGTATCAGATTCAAATGGGTCATCAGAGAATTGCATCATGAAGCACAGTTGGTGTCTGCAGGAAGGATCTGAAAAATTGCCGCCTCTAGGTTCATTTTATTTTCAGGTTTTATCTGTGATGTCATCAATATGGCTATTATTCTCGCTGACTTTTTTTCTTCTAGTCATTTTTCAATACAAGGAAGTCATCATCCCGGTCCCATTTAATGAAAAGCAGAGTAACATATAGTAGTTCTGCATTCAAGGGATGTCACAAACCTGGCAAGCCCAACACAAATCAAACTGCACAAGGGAAAAAGCTAAAAGGAGAAAAAAAAAATCAAAACGCTCATCGACAGGCAGAATAAGCCAACATTGGCCTTTTAAAGCAACCAATTCAGAACCAGAAAAGGCAACCGTTCTTAGGACAACTGATTTCTCCTAATATTTATGTTGGTCATTCCAAAAGGGGTATCTGGTCGACAAAGCTGGCTGCCTGGTTGCTACTTTTCCATTACTGTTTTGAACTGAACAAAGAATCCCCAACATCACTCTCCTCCTAAATTCTTTAGTCTGGCAATTGGCTATCACTCCTAAGCAATGCTGGTAAGCATCCTACTGTATAAAAAGAAAATGTGCATGCTATCTTGATGTCCATGAAAATCATTACAGAGTGTCTTGGTGCATACAATATCTAAAATAAAGGTGGCAATTGACAAACAAAACAGAAATAACAACTAGAAACTTAAAGGGGGGTTATAATATCACTAACTGGTTTTGGGGCCAGCAGGATGGTTCCAAAAAGCTTGAAGCTTTGAAGAAGCCATTGAAACTAACACGGGCTTCCTGTTTTTTCACACGACCTTGTTTCACTCACTTATTTGCTTTCCCGTGCCCCTACAAGCAAACATAAAATCGTATCTGTAAATCTTTGGCATAATACAAGAGTAAAACTCAGTCAGAATATGCCTGTGCAGCAGTTTGGATATTGCCGGGATAATTTTTTTACTCAAGGAGTCAAGTTCATGCAATATAAGAACCAAGGAAAAAAACATAGCAAAAACATGATAGCCAATAATCTGCATCAACAGTGGACATAGCCAATAAACTCTCTACATACATTCATGCTTACATAGTAAAACCTTATCATAGTGATTTGTGCCGTTGGCTATAACGCAAACTTGATAGGCTATGCAAGGGTCCATTTGCCTCCGCAGAGGAAATAAACATAGGGACGCATTTGGCCCTGCTCCTACTCATATGTTGAGCTGCTGCCAAACTAGAGATGGAGGTAGCTTAGGAACTGTTAGTCTGTCAAGTTTGCTTTTAAATCAGGAAGAAACAACGCAAATTCTCCTTACATTCCTTGAGCTAGGACTTATCTGTACTTATCACTAAACTTTAATTCGGTATCATGTAGAATTGCCTCTATCTATAAAATATGTGGCATTCTGGTCATAATATGAATGTTCATACCGTACACCGAGTCACAACTTTCAATGGAAGAGAATAACTTACTACTCCTACATATGAATCTCAGGAATGAAAAAAAAAACACAATGGTATTCAATATTGAGTATACAACAGTATGCCAAATTGAAGAGCATGTCGCAAGATGAATAGCATTCATGAAATATGCTTTGAATGTCATTCATAATTCTATCTTCTCAATCAACAGTTCCTTCTACAAGAGTATTGAACTAGCATACCAATCCGTTTAATCAATTCAGAATACCTACCACCCACAGTATGGATGTTCTCTAAATAGAACAACCGTGGACAGAACTACATCTAACGCGCCAAACGTACAAAAAAAAGTGAAATTATAGCCTCTAATTCCCCGTATTGTCCACTATCTGTTGACATAAGCATCCTGTGCGATATGAACACATGATACAATTATCGCGCCGAGGATGCAGAAAGCCGAGGAGGGTCCAGGCCGGTGGCTGCAGAATCAGGGCTAGGGGGAAGGGAACCTTGACGGACCAGGAGAGAGCGCCCTCGCGGTCGCCGGTGGTCCGCACTGGGCCGGAGTCCTTGTCGCCGTTCCGGACCTATCGTACACCCTCTCTCCTTTGCTTCGATCCTACTCGATACAGGCGAAGGCGGATGGGCATCCATGGTCAAACTTAAATCGTGGTCGTGGGTCGCATCTCCCCCAAGACCAAGAGAACCATCAGATTAGCTACATGTCCTGTTGAGTGTAGACAGCGGGAGGAGGGTTAGAAATCGGTCACCTGAGACGGCCGCCGCCGGTCGCCGGAGCCGAAGAAGCCGATGAGAAGAGGGGATGGGATGGTAGATATGATTCAGGTGAGGTGTCTCTTTCGGGAAACCCTATATGAGGCACAGGCGATCGACCCAGCGTTCGGGGCGTGGGCCGGTCTGTTTAGAGATTTATTTCAGAGATCCCGTTTTTGGAACCTTCCTGAACCGGGTTTTTTTTTTCGATTTTTCATTTTTTTTCCTTTCCTTTTTCGTTTTTCTCTTTTATTTTTGACATTTCTTTTTTATTTACCAGCAAAATGCCTGCGTTGCAACGGGAGAAAAAAGTACCACATGCTCTTAATTTACAAAAAATGTCCTATGATCTGAGAATTTGTAGCTACCCCTCCGTCCCATAATGTAGGATGTTTTTTGACATTACTAATGTCAAAAAATATCCTACATTATGGGACGGAGGGAGTATTTCAAAAATACATAAAAAGTTAAAAAAAGTTGTTAAAAAGATAGAGATTTTTAATCATAAAAAGTGATTTTTTATGTCTAGAAAAGAACATTTTTTATGGTCTCATGTTGACGCAGGTACTTGCGCCCCTATTTCATCACTATTTTTTGCCATACATGTCAAAGGTATTGGTCCCTGTTTCATCACTACTTTTTTTATCAAACTTGTCTTTTATTTGTATCTTTGTTATGCATGCCTCCTTTTTACTTTTTCATGCATGTCCTCTCTTTTTTCTTCATATATAGGAGAATAGTGCAACATCTCATCTTTATCGGATCTCCTCTGCATTTTCTCTTTTATTTATTTTATAGCGGACATCCCATCTTTGTTTGGTCCTTTTATTTCTTGTCATGCATGCCCTTATTTATTGGTGTCTCTAACAAATTTATTTTCAGTTTGATGTCCAATCCTGAATTAGTACCGGTATGAAAAAAGAATTTGGAGTTACCAAATCTGAATCTGAATCAGTACCGGTATGAAACAAAGACGGATAACGCATTGTTGATTAACATTGCAGCCTAGATAATATATTTTTAAAATTGCTAACAGCTAAAATAACATCATATTTAGTTTCTACATATTTTTCTAATCAAATTTCATATATAATATGTTAAATTTGAAGTTACGGTTTAAAAGATATGAGTATTTAAAAAATATTTGATATGTACTGCGGGTTTAATGTCAGAAACATCAGAGGTTTTCTACAAAATAGAATGACGGACTAAGAATACATATTTCTTTTATTAGTAGGTATAGATTTCCTATTTTCATTTCTTTCATGTTTCTTTTTTACAATTTATTTTCTTTTTTCAACAAATGTTCTGAAATTTAAATAATGTTTTTTTCAAATTTTGTTCCATTTTTTTAGAGAGTGTTCCTATTTTCTATTTTTTTCAAAAATTCAAAAAAATTTAGAATTTCAAATTTTGTTTGCTACTTTTGTAAAAATGTTTGAAATTTTTAAAAAGTTTATAATTTAAAAAAGTTCGCACTTTAAAAATTTATTCAAAAACTGAAAAATGTTCAAGAACTTCAAACAAATGTTCAAATGTTCCCATTTTTTAACTTCGTTCGCACATTAAAGAAATGTTCATGATTCAAAATTTGTTCACAAATTGAAAAAATGTCCGCATTTTAAAATTTTGTTCACAAATTCAAACATGTTCAAGAACTTTAATAAATGTTCCTATTTTCCAAATTTGTTCACAAATTCGACAAATTTTATGTTTTGGAAATTTATTCACAAATTTTAAAAATGTTCATGTTTAAAAATTCGCAAATTAAAAAAATGTTTGGGGGAATTTCAAACAATCTTTTGAGTTTTTCTAAAAGTTGTTCACAATTTTGAAAAATGTTTGTGTTTTGAAAAAAAACTTGTTTTTCAAATAATTGTTCGTAATTTCATAAAATGTTCTCCTATTCAATTTTGTTTCTATTTTTCCATAAAAATAATGAGTTTCCAAAATAATGTTTGCATTTCAAAAAAATCATGTTTGAAATTTCAGAAAAGGATCAAATCTGCAACGGCTTATGGTTCATATATACCAGGTGCCTTTTTGGACACCAAATCTCAGGTACTACTTTCAGTGTGGTTCTTGTTTTCAAGTTTTATAGTTGTAGCTTCTTTAATTAACTGTTGTGCGGCAAAACTGGCACTCAAGCTAGCTAGTCGCGGTGGCTAGAGCAAGGCGAGCATCTACAAAAGGTCGCTGGTTTGATTCCTATCTCTAGTGTGTTTCTTTTTGCGATTTTCCTCCTCGCCATCTCGCAAAGGCAGAGCCACAACAAATGGGCTGGCCCAGGCGAGCTGCCATGTGCGAAACCATGACTCCTAGTCCTGGCGACGTTTCGTTGACGGTGGAGGTTGTACCCTCCCGCGTGCCGACGGTGCCGCGGCCCTTAGTTCCGGCTCCTATCCCTTGTCGTGCAGACCTCACCTCGTGGTGCCGTCGTGAGACGGCGTGGAGGCTTCTTGACCATGGTGGCGCAAGATGGTGGTCGGTTTGGTGGCAGGCTCTGGAGCACCCGAGGTGAAGGTTGGGATCGGGGGAAACCCCTGTCGTCCTGTCCGACACCGACGCGGCGACGCCGGTTGGTGCCGCCGGACCTTCCTGGAGGGCGTCGGGGCGACCCTTCCTCTCGCCTCGTCGGGTACCGGGGGAAACCCTTGGCAGCAACAACGTCTTCGTTGCGGTCCTTCTTGAAGGTGCTGATTGGTACCGGTGCTTCGGAGCCTTGAAGCTTGGTAGGAGATCCTCGATGGGCGCAGTGGTCGTGAAGCTTCTTCGTTTCCGTCGATCCGCCGTTGTCGGCATTCTTTTCTTTTGTTGTTTCTCTTTCGTTTCTTTTGGGTGTGATTGTGCTGCTTCCGCTCCAGCACCTATCCTTGGATGTTCGGTCGGTTGCTTTGGAATACAAAGCGGGGGGAAATCCTTTTTCTCAAACCATGACTCCTTGTCGCAATAAGCGACTCTAACCCCCATTGCCAACTTTAGTACTTTCAATTTACTTTACCCCTCCCTTGTCCCTTGATCCAGAGTGGTTTATGCTATGAATTATTAGAAACAACAAGTACGACAGACACAAACACATATATACACGCTCACATGTCACATATTGAATAACTATATACGCTGAGTTTCAAGATTGATGAAACAACTAATGGGAAAATACAACTTAACTCTATCTCCTTATTAATCGAGTTGCCACATCAAAAGTTTGGCTTCTGTGATATTTTTAGGTACAGCATGCATCAATGTATTTGGAGTTTTGGACTGGCATAAGAGGCGGCTAAGCATTCAACTCCTCTCAGTCATTGGAATGCATCTTCTTCGGACTTCATTTTGGCCGGCCCAGAAGACACGAAGCCGCACACAATCTGGCTTGTGTGGTGATGGTGGACTATAGCAAACGGCAATGATAAATCTTGAACGTTCGGATTTTAAGTATGGCAACCCGAACGTTTTTATGGCAACTTTAGTTCACGTGAGGTTGACAAACATTATAATTTTCTGACAAAAAATAAACTGAGGCAAAGTTATCATGTCTTAACAACCAAAGTTGCCACCTTGCGTCAACTAAAATTGCCATGTATGTTCG